CTCAGAAACGACTTAGTATACAACTTTCCTGTGATAATTGTAGTATTACCAGCTGTTGTTATAGTATCCCCATGTAGATCATAGAATGCCTGCTTTTCATTGGTTTTTGAAGGTGAAGCCATGCCAAGCTTCATATTTGACATGAGGTTTAGTAGCAATACCTAGTAGCAGTAGCGCCTGTTGTAGCAGTCATCTACTGAGATTGACTAATAGTACGGGCAGGACTTGTACCAGAAGTTGATATACATGTAGGTATAGTCTGTTATCATATTGATTCATGAAATGCAATATTTCCCATCACTATTGAAGAAGTTTGTGCATGTAATTAACTAGTAAACTAAGAACTATTAATAACCAGTTATTAAGTATAATAATTGTTAATTGGAGTCAGACTCACATTAAAATGCAGAGCAGTGATACTAAATGTTGGATTGCATTGGCTAAGTCTGGCTTGAAACTTGTGCAACTAACAGAACTCTTTACTCCATCTTTCACTTTTAATAGAGAATGAACAGTTTAAGTGTGAAGCCTATCACGTGTTTTTGTTTTAATTAAGTTTACAAAAGAAAATCTTCTCTCAATTTCAACATTAGCATGAGGCAGAAATAACAAGCTCTGCATAGGTAGCAAGCATACCAAACTAAAGATTACATTAGAAAGCTGACCCAAAAATGCTTCTCAATTTATACCCTAGAGTCGACGCCACTTGTAATCTACAACTTAAACTGATCAACTATAATATGAAATCTTGAGCACAATAGTACAAGTGATGGGGATTTTGATTGACTATCACTACTGGGATCAAGCACCTCAAGCATTCTGATTTCTAGTGCATTAAGTGGGAATCTCTTCTTAATCTGGCGAGCTCCCTCTATGTAAAACTTTTCTACACACCCAAGAAAATACCTCATGGATCTAGATCCCCCTATTCGGCAGTGTCTCCAATATGACTCCTTTGTATAGTAGCTTGAAAGCTTATGATATAATGCTATCAGAGGTGTAGAGTCATTTTTAAACTCTGAAACATAAAATTTTTAAATCAGAGAACTTCAGATGTGCAAAATTTAAGAAGGCTACATCGAGTTTTCACATAAGATTCTTCAAATATGCAAAAATTTTCTGAGATACTAGAAGATTGTCTGGAGAAACATTTTGAAACTATTGAGTAAATGAAAAAATGATAATGCATTGAGTAATATATTGAATAATAAAGTTGATGTGTATATAGTGTACCAGTCAATTATTAGAGATAGGAAAGTTTACTGAAGATCAATTGACCATGTCTAATCTTCATGTACAAGAATTGGTCAAATTCCTGAAAGGTATTGTAGGCAACTGGAAGCCCCAGTGTCAAACTGCATGTGTGATCCCATTGTCAATATAACGTCTAGTTTGTTACAAAACAAAACAGAGCTTCCAGTCCAAAATCATAGCAAACTCCTTGAACTAGTGATAATCATGCATCCTACCATTTCAGTTATAACTGAAAATCTTCTCCTCTTATTAGTTTCTGAATTCACATTCATGGATAACATTTAACACCTCATTTGTGATTGATTAGGAGTTATACATTTTAACAATGCCTGCTGCACCCTGGATATTCCAAAACTTCTTATAATCTTGAAGAACTCCTTTGTGAATCATCAATGATATTAATGCTTACAAAGTTAACATTAGCAGTGTTTCGTTGAGATTGATTTGTCCTCCCCTATATTTAGGGCAAGCAATTTCCGGGTGAGCCAGTGACCCATAAGCCTGGTAGCAATTAATGAATTTACAAAATTTATGTGAAACTGGTAACATTCGTTGTAGTTGAACCTCTTGTGGGGTTTGGAGCTGGGTACTCTCTGTCTCTTGTTGCTTTCCTCCTTAGTGATCTGATTGGAGGAGAGGGGCAGGGCACAAGTTGAATCTCAACATTCATCATTCTCAACAAAAATTTCATAACCTGGATTTTGAAAAATTTCTATCAGTTTTTCATGTGCTAATGCATAGAATCTATAAAATAAAAAATATATTACACATGATTTATATAACTATGCTGTTGTAATTGAATTTAAGTTAATATACAACAGCAGAAGTGCAAAAAAAATATTTGGGTTGAATTCAACAAAATATTCAAGAATGTTCTCCTCCTCAAGAGGTTTTGGATACAAATCATTTTAAAATTATCAGTAATCATTCATTAGTGAAAAGAGAAACCAATAGCATACAAGATGCTATTATTATGACTTTAAATAAATACAAGAGTAGACTAAAAATTCACAAGCAGTCATCACCATCAGGGAAGGAGCAATCTTGTTCCACTGCAGCTTGCTGGAGAAATAAGCAATTGTACGAGAGCCAGCCCCTCTCTCCATGTCTTTGTGCTTGGTGAATGACTATTTGACATTAGGGAGCGAGTTCTTTTGCTGTCCTATCTGGCATTGAAATGGCCAGGAATACCAGGAAATGTAGAAAGCCCAGGTTAGGGGGTTCTCCAATTCCCTCAACTTGGCTCCTGAGCGTGAGCCAATCTTGGATATTAGCTTAGTGAGAGCGGCATTGTCTGCCCTTTGGTCTAAAAAGAGACCAGCCCTGACATTGTCTACCACCTTGCCGGGTATTGGAGGCAATGAGGGTGAGACTATAACCCTAGCAGATCCCCTTGCTGGAGATGAGAGGGGACTGTGGCAGTGGCAGACAGTAGCTGCCCAGAGATACAAGTGGCAAAGTGTAGGCAGGTGACCACCAGAGAGACGTATTGAAGGATAACAATGACAATAAATACAAAACAATAAAAATATTAATAATAAGAAATGAGAATAAGATAATACAGAGTAGGCAAGAAAGCGTGGGAGGCTGGATTAACCACAGCGTTGGTGAGAAAATTGTTAAAGCTGAAGCGTAAGCGGGGAAAATGAATTAAGCGGGCAGCGAAAAAAAAGGAGGTGGGAGGCTTGAGTGCTAACATTTGCTCCCAGTTCAAAAATGGCTTAAGCAGCAAGCAAGCTGCCAGTCAGAAGAGGTATTGCTAAGCTAATTTAAATGATTTAGAAGTACATACCTAATACAACTTCTGTGGAGGATAGAGTATTAGTTGTAGTACCCGTTGAAACTAAAGGAAGAGGTCTTGCCTTTGCAAAATCGATCTCCTTTTTTAACTGCTGCTTGAATTGCTGAGACAATTGCTGTATAAGAGACTGATGTTGCTGGAACACTAGAAGAAGCATTACCTGAACTAGGAACTCTGTGAGCTGTTGCAGAAGTTGTAGCAATGGTGGCAATGATAAAGGAAGTAACTAGAGCCGCTACAGTAGATGCCATCACTGGAACTGAAGTTGGAGTAGCCATAATGATTGTTAGGATAAAGAAACAAGACAAAGACGAGGAGAGAGAGGAAAACAAAGAGGGTTACTGAGCTGTAATCCAAATGAGCAAATGACTTTTGTCACTGCTCTGCAGCCTAATTATTTAATTATTCTGAATAATACACATGTGCATGAAGTCTAGCTGGGTAAGCCCTAATTCCATGAAATCAAGATTTGTGAAAATTTTACACTGCAAAGTGAACCAGTATACGTTAGTAAAGTAATGGCTAGAGAAAGAGAGAAGCCAGAGTAGTGGTTGCCATCATTTACACATAGGCAGTAAAATGATGGCAAGCTAGACAATAAATAATGTCACATGTCATATAAATATATTTATTGTTACTATCATGCAATGTTAACTATGGCTATTGTAGATGTGGTGGGTAATATGGTAGTCTGTGATGGTCATATGATTAGTATGGTTGATGCTTTGGTGGTGCCATATGTTCCATCAATGACAAAAACACTTTTGTCATATTCTCTCTTCTTTCTTCCATTTTATCATACATTTTCTTCTCTTTCATCTCCCTTTTTTCCATCAACATTAACATAGACTTTTCATGCTCTCTGTCTCTTGTGTGTCCTGAAAATAGAGTTTTAATTGTTACATTAATTTCTGTACCTCCTATGCAACTGCTCTATACACCTTAAATCAAATAAAGTGAATGACCTGAAATTAACTGATCGAAGCAGTCTTATCACCATCATTGGTATCACAGTCATCTTTAGTACTGATGATAATAGCGGATTCACTACTTTCTATGAGTACAGGTGGTCTGTTGCTGCTCTGGTGCCCAGGATTCTTTCATTAAAATGACAGTCCTTTCTGTCCATCCCGCTACTCTATTTCAATCTTTCATTTACTAGTATGATTATTTACTAACAATAATCTACAATTCACCTTTCTATATTTATAGTGACAAGCCTGTTTGACATCATTTCCAATCTTTATTCTTGTAACCCTAGTTAGCCAATTTTTAAAGCAATCTCCATGTAAAGAAAGCTATTCCTTACAACAAAAATCTCATTAATGTTTTGCTGCACCATTGCATCTTTCCAACTTGCCACCAGACATTTAGTTTTGTCAGCACTGCAGTAAGAAGTCATTTTTTGCTTGCAGATGTTTGATGGTTATTGTATGTAACCGCGCATTAATCATTATTGTTTGCATAGCCTTGGGTTGCGGGGAAAATAAAAAAGCAAATTGATCTGGATCGAACCACTTCATGAAGTGAATTGCTTTCAATTCACATTAAAGAGCTTCATTAGGAAAACACCCTTGTGTGAACACGATTAATATGTATCAAAGCACTTTACTTTGCCAGTGTAACAAGGCCTTTAGCATTAACAACAACCTTCCTGTTTTTTTCAAAATTCTTCACTGTTCAGATTGCTGAGTGCTTTTGTTACAGACAAAGACCTGCTCCATAACCAAAGTTAACAAATTTTATTATTGAATATAAAAGGGAATGTTGTCTGAAATAATACAATGCAATAGGTTATATGAGCAAATTAACTCTATCAGGAGGCCTATTCAAAAATTATTTGCCTCTTATTAATAATGTGAATTACTTTCTTTATGAACTGTAGTAGGATCTACTACTGAAGTATTAATATTTATTATAATTTTATTAATTAGATATAGTTGTCATTATATTCAATCTCTATAGGAACATACAAAGCCTAAACTGAACAGAGAAAATTATGTCATTAACGAACTGATTCAAGAATATCTTCAGTTCAATAATTACAAATACACCAGTGCTGTCCTTACACAAGGTAATGAAAATATTGTACATTATTAATTTATTATGTATTATTAGTAGGCATTGTCTTATATGTCTATTTATTACATAAATGCATGCCAATGCATTTATCCGGATTTAAAGATTGACATGTAACCTCTAAAAATTACCTAGTATGAATAGAATACGATGCTGCATGTTCCAGCTATTTATTAGTAGAATTAAATATCATTGACTTCTGATCACAGCCCTACACCTCAATAATTTGTCATGAAAAGGCTTGTAAATTTGTAATAGGGCTGAAACAAATACATGTACCATTTTTCAGTATTTGAATACCTGCATAATGAATATTTGTTTCATACAGTTTAGTATAAAATTACTTTTATTGCTACCACTTGAGATAGCATTCAACCACATGTATATAGTTTACATAGTGAAAAAGGAATGAAGTGGCTAAAATTTGTATTTCTTGGGAGTGGCTACTCTTATTTGGAATAAAAGAATATTCAAATTGTAAAATTGCTATTTTAGATAGCATCATAATGAATGAATAATCAAATACTTGCACTATTGGTTTCAGCCTTGAAATTTTGCTACTATAATTTCTAATACAATAATAGCTGTATTTTGGAGGTCAGGGCTTCATACAGGAAGAACCTGGGATTTTCTTCTCCAAGTGGCAAACTTCTGTTTGCTGAAATAGCCCGGGTAAATTTAATAAAAGGATTCATACTTGCTGTAATTCATTTTTGTTCATTACAAAAGCAATTTATTGAAATCATGAGTATAATAGGTCATACCTGCACTGGTAAAATAGACTTTCACTTAATTAGATCTAGTTGAATATCAAATTAAAATTTCCAACAATATGTAGTGTTATCGTTATTCGTTAATTTTTATTATGTTCCCCCCCCAACTAAACAACCTTGTATGAATTCAAGGGGGAAGACATCTTGGCAAATTTGGTGTTTTGATAATCATTCACTAAAATTAAACCTAATGATTTTGAAGCATTTATTTGCATGCTCCATTGCACATAGCCACTAATTTACCAACTAAAACGCACTAATCATCAAAAATTTTGCATTCCCCTCCATAATTACCAGCTATATGGGAGCTTTGTTATTGATCATTTTAAGAAAAGTATGCATTTGATTGCTTTTCACTTAGCATCCGTATGAGGATTGCAAAAGGCATGCCAGTTTACACCATTGAAAACTTGTAAGTAACTAGTCCTCTTGTGACTCTTGTCACATTCCTCACAAAATGCAATGAAAAGGTTAGATTGTTGATAATATTAAGTTTGTAAGTTTGCCTGAAATTCACTTTATAGTGTACTTTATATTCAGATTATAATAAAAATATTCCAGGACTAATACCTTTGCCAATGGCAAATAATAAGCTACCTTGTTCTTCTTGATGAACAACTCTTTGGTTACACGAACCACCTTAAAGCACTAAAAGATGTAGTGTGCCTCCCATTAGGGGCCTTTGATAGGAATGCATCCATTTAAGACTACTCCTTTCATAACAGTATCGACCAGCATTTCAATCACATTAATAACCATGAAACTAACATTAACAACGGCACTTTTGTAATTATCAATAATGCTATCAGTAGTAATAATTATCTTACTTTGTTCTCATATTCTGTAGAATCAGGCCAGACTGAGGAAACATTGCCTCGTGACATAGTTGCTAGAGAACTACAAATTCCACCAGATGACAGCAATTTGTAAGTGACATGCAGTAAACCTGTCCCTATTAATTATTTGTGATCATTATAGGCCTTTGCTCTACAGAATAGTTAATCATCTGGCACATAGCACTTAATGCAGAGATATTTAAATAAAATTAAATTACAACAATGATGAACTAAAAATTTAGTTTTCAATTTCATTTGTTAATTTTATATTAATCATAATGCCACCATTATCAGGCAGAAAACAGATAATAGGCAGTGACTAGATCTAGGTAGTCACAAATAGTCTAGATTTATACCATTGTATATACAGAATAGGAGTCAGCAGGTCTATCTTTTGAATCTCTATAATGAAGTCATAATGCTTAGTTGACAAGATTGATCAAAAATTATAGATCTAGGTAATTTACTGATGAATCTTTCTGCTAAATTGGTACCATAGAAGATATACAATGAAGTGAAGAAATTATTATTGACAGAATTGTGAATTGCATACACAAACTGTATTATAATGATATTAGTTCTACTTATACAAGACCAGTTTTATTCTCTCTAAAAACCTAAGGATATTCTTTCTTGGGTTAGTTGTTAACTTTCTCTTATAAGACCTCCAGTTATATCCCTCTGAGCTACCACTGACTCATTCACTCCATCAAAACTCTAGACCCTGCCCTTGCAGGAAGACGTAATACATCTTAGTTACTCATTCCTAAGCTTTTTCTGACACCTAGATCTAGTACACAGGGATGCTGTAATGTATGAAGCATGTACAAACACTGTTTTGTTTTCATAACTTTGTTCTAACAAAATAAGCTTTGCAAATTAGCTTTAATAAAACAAAATTAATTGTTCATTACGTAACAATAAGTCCTTCAGCTATAAAAATTATTAGCAATTTAATTAAAAATCAGAAAAAAATCAACTTATTATATAGTCTGTAGCGTAAAAACAGCAACTAAATCTAAGATTATAACAAGTTAAAAGTATAGCTTTGTAAATCTGTTTAGACTTCTACATGTACATCAATCATTTCAGAGATTTGATTCATTGACTTTCCCTCCTAACACCTTTGCTTTATGCAATGGGAAAAAACCAATGTCATCTTTCAAAACCTGCAAGTAAGAACACAAATAATGATATTATGATTTCAATGAACAAAATAGATTCAAACTATTATTAAGAAAAATATACCCATAATGTTATTATTTCAATGGGACTCTCCACAAATGCATTGATTAATCATTTCAAAAGCCAACAGTGAAGGGAATAATCACATTAATTGGCAATAAAAAGATACATGTAAGTTGCTTGTCTACAGTGAAATTATTTATCACGATTTGTAACTACACACATTGGATAGCAACTAACTATACTACAAATTATAGAGCTGTTGAATGGATGTAATTAATGGGGCAGGCGAAGCTTCCTGTCAGCTGTGTTGAGTGGCAAGAATGTACAGTCAATGAATGGAGAAATAGAAACAAACTGAGATTTTTCATCAAAGAGATACCATACATCACTGCAGAATATTATCGAGAGTTCTTCACTTAATACCTTTACCCACTACCTTGCATTAGTCTGGAATACCAACTGCAGAATTTATTCAAATTTTTTCTCCATTCTCCCCATTCCACCATGTACATTTTTGGCCTTCTTGCCACCCAACATGGCGGACAATTTAGCTCAATTTTAGTTACACCCTCCTGTTGATTACTTCCGTGCAACAGCTCTATAGCATAATAGGTACTTTGAGGTATGCTTACCTTTTCATGTACATATTTCTCCATTGCATTATAATCATTAGGATCAACTGAGTCAAGATAAAGGAGGAAATGCACATAATTCCACATGTGATGATCAATTTTCGTATGTTGATCAAATCCCTATATGAAAAGATAAATATTATCATCATTATAGTATCTAGCTATCTGCCTCACTTTTTTGCTCTTTTTTTCAAAAGTCTCCCTGTCAATTCCACATACAAAACATGACTTCTGTTTGTCGTTATTGATACTTTCCTATTACAAAAATAATAATAACCACTGAGCCTTATTTTTTTACTGTCTTACATTTGTAGTTCTAAACTCAGAAAATCGATCAACTATTATGGCTATCACAATGTTCAGTCCAAGAACGGTAATAATAATGAAGATGGCTAAATCAAAAAGACTTCTAGTCCAGTATCTGTGGAATGATGGTTCAGGTTGGTCAGCAAATTGAACAGGAAGTACCTAAAAATAAAGTGATACACCCTTGATCACAAAATTTGGTACAAATAAAAATGAAGAGTTGTTCAATTAATTTTTGAAATGAATTGTCACATGAGCTGCCACAGACCACCAAATGAAATTGGAGGCAAAAATTTATAGAAATGGAGCTCAATTTACTCCGCCAAAATAATTGTAGCATTAATATTAAATCTTGTGCTTCATCAAATCTAAAATTAATCTCACATTTCAAGGCTATTTAGTATCAATATAAAATGACAATATACACAAGCTAGTAGTAATTCACTGAGTCTAATATATAACATACCGTTCCAATAGTACCCAATAATCCTTCTCTTATCACTGAAACGTAGCATTCAATCAATGTACGACAAAAAATTGTCTCATTATCAAAAAAATTTCGGAGAAAAACAAAAGAAATTACTGAAAACATCAATAGGACACTCAGACCAAGAAGACCAAGGATAATGAGCTGTTTAGCTATGAAAAGAGGAAAAGATAAAGAAAATTATAATGACAATTAAAAATACATGTGTACAGGGTTTCCAATAGGATATTGGCATGCAGGTTTTTGTCAGCAAACTGTCAAATTGCTCAAAAATTGAGCCATAAATCCTATACAGCAGAGAAATTTCAATTTTTAATAATTTTTATGCATTTTTTATTTTGTAGCTGATTCTGTATATTAACTTTCTGATCAAATTTGGATTTTTGAATGAATTTTTCAATTTGCAACAAAATTGGGCCAATGACCCAAGGCTATAGCCTTTGGTCTAAGGCCAAATTTTATCAAAAGTTACTAGGAGAGGATTCTCAGTTTAAATAATTGTTAATTATAATGTAATTATGTTGCGTAGAAATTTTGAGCTGATTTCAATCAAAATTGAATTTTTTACAAATTCTAAGTTGGTCCAAATGCCCTGTATTGTAGTGATTGTCAGGTCATGAAGCATGCTTTGTTCAGCTCATTTAGTATGCTTTAGTGAAATATCCTCCATGTGCATAGTTTATGAAAAAATTAGCACCTAAGCACAGACCCTTGAGCAGAGAGTATTTAGCATAAAAATGTCAGTAGACATGGCTCAATTACACACAGTAAAATGATGCCATATAGGCACTGTGATAAAGAAGCTTAAACTTTTTTGTGGACTTCCATGTACACATTCTTTATACTCTACTTGTTTCATAGAAGCTTGTAAAGTTTAAAGAATCTAACTGCTCGGAAATGCATGTATAGTTTGGACTAGCAAAAGTAAAAAAGAAGCATGCTGCAGTAATTACACACATACATTTTTAAAAAGTTGTACTCTGTTGTTTGACATATTACAACACTAGATTGCTTTACCAAAAAGAGAGATATCCTGGGCTGACTACATTTGGCAGCATACTTCACTTTACCTACCTTAAAGAAGGAAAATTGGGGCTTAAATAAGTCAGAAAAACTTTTTTCTATGCGGCAGTGATGATCATGAGACTCTCCTGGAATTCAACAGAAAGTAACAACAGCTTGAAATAAAGTAAAATCTGCACTTAACACATTGACAAAGTAATCGCTTTACCAACACATCCACCTACACGTGGCGAGGTTAATAGAGCATGTATTTATTATAAAGGAACCTAATTTTTTGCATTGCTTGGTTTCTTTTTAGTTATAAAAGTAGATACAATACAAATAATATTTTATGAAACCTTCATAAAATAACTTTAATCATAAAATTTTAAAAATACTCACCACTTCTCTTGATTGCAACAAGAACTTGTTGCAGCACATCATTGTCCAGAAACAAATATAATATGCATCCACAGTATAAATAACCAGAGGTTGCAAGTGCAAAAATGGAGAAGAGGAGAAAAATTATCCGATACAAAGGAGAAAAAGTGAAAAAGGACACCTCGAAATACTTTTGAACAGGCTTTTCTTTAATAGATAGTACTTTCAAGCCCCAGATCACTTTACTCCATTTATTAAACCTAAGGTTAAATGGTATTGTAACACTTTTATTACAGACAAAATTATTTACTTGTTGCTTTTCATAATTTTCAATATTTAAAAGGACATTTTTTATGCATTTACAAATTACAACAATAAGTTCCCTGTAAATTTTTCATTTTATCAATACTTAAAATATCATAGGCCACATAAAGCTTTCCTGTTACAAAGTGGAATTGAATGTAATTAGTACTAAAGCAAAAAAGGGCTTGAACACAATTCAAACATAAATTAGTATCTCAATAGTGACTAGTTAGTGACAAGCCCTACATTGCTCTCCAGAAAGATCCTCTCAGAAAATTAAACAAAATATTTTGCCACTCTCTAACATAATAGTCAATGACCATCCATAGTGACAAAATAACATGTAGAGAACCAAGAATATATAGCAAATAGCCAGTAAACCAAACATTTGAAGTCGCATCAGGCTCATTGGTAACTGTATAGTCAGGTGACTCATTTGTGACAGTATGGTTAGCATTTATTGAACTGCAATAGAAAAATTAATGAAACATTTATTTTCTTTCTTACTCTCATTTCTCATACCTTGCAGGCACATCAGAAAAAAATATAACAAAAAAGTTCAATATCAATGTCAGAATAGCAAGTACAAATCTTCTCAAATTCCTGGAGCATAATTATAATGTACATAAAACAAAAATGCACAACTCACGTTGCAAACATGACTTTATGAAAGAAAAAATTGGCCTTAAGCTGAGCCTGTAATATTTAGAATAGAAAATTGTAAAAATTATGATGAAATGGAGACTCCTTAAACTTACTTGATATCGATTGTTCTTTCTAATTGCTTTCATCCAATGAAGAAGATCTGTCACTTTGTCTTTGAGTGATTCTCTTTTTATATTCTTCTTAACAACATCTTTTACATCATCTTCCAATTGTTCCTAGTATAAAGTTACATTACAAAACATGACACAACAGCATATTGCATGCACATGACTGTTTCTGATATAGGAGTAGGCATGTGTTTATTTATAACAAGAAAGGAATAGATAACAACATTAACAGAATCTCCAATATAACTATAAAGACATTACTTAAAATGTCATGGTAGCTAGGCTTCATTGGGTTTAATTTGTATGACTTCTGTTATATGAGCAGCTAATTTAATAAACTTCAACTCTACTTTTAAGGTAAAGTATATAGTACATAACTTACTTTGGGATCAAATTGAAAATAAACTTTTGCTAAAATTTCTTCTCCATTTTGTGTCTCATAGTTCACTTCAATGCTTTGTGAGAATTGATTTAAGTGCTCACTCATTCTTTGATTTTTATAATTAGCTGCAAGGATCAAAATAACACTACTATCAATTAATATTGTGTAACTAACCATAGCTTTCAAAATCTTCACCTATAGAGTCTGAAATCTTCATCAACACTTGATGAGCTCTAAATATAAACATAAAGACTCAGGAATGCACCTAAATTTATACACATACTTGAATAATCTTCTTTCTGATTTGATTTTGTCCATGCCATAGCCAGATTGCTATGAAATCAAAATAGTAAATCCCAATTATATAAATGACAGAAAAAACACCATCACTGATATTATATTTATAATTGTTAATGAATCTGGTATACAAAAAATAGTCGAAATTTTTTGTCAAATTTGAAGTCTAGTGTTACAGTTACTGGTCATTTTTAGAAATTTCATAACTTAGTACTACACATACAATGCGGTACCAATCAAGATTTTTTCAAGTGCTAACACAACTACGAGACACCAAAGGTGCATGGCCTCGCCCCTATAGTTGATTAGGAAGTGTTAGGCTTAGCTAGCCAAGCTGACCTGCAAGTACACCTGTACATTTAGATCAAAAGTGACACTCTGGGCAAGTGTGAAAAGCATGATGGGACTCTGGAGTCCCTCCAAAAATTTGTGATGTGTTTACAAATTCCAACTAACACTTGGATTTTATCAACTATTTATACACTCTTATTTAAAAAATAGCATCATGGGTTGCAAAACCACAGCTTTTGATGTGGTCTCTATCAAACATACACATTCTAAAAACAAACCAGACTGCATGCCTGCAGAAGTAGCAGCATACTCCAGCTACTCCCAAATTGGAGGTGTGGCATGACATCATCAACTATTAATTATTTGATGGCAGTAAGCCCTGCAACAAGAAGGAAGTTTCAGATTTTTCTCTTATAAACGCTATATGACATTATAATGGCACAAATACTGTTGCCTAGATGTAAATTGAGTGATTTGAGAGAGTTTAGGTCCTTTAGACTACCTACAGTTCACTCGGATTGAAATTCAAGAAGCTATAACTCACCAACAAGAAAGATTTCAAAGAGTCCCACACATATTAAAACAATAACTAGTCTTGATCTACTGGAAAAAAGTCTCATTTACCTCCAGAGTACTACCACTATTGCTGGGCATTTTCTCGAGAGTTAAAAAGCTTCTACCAGCTAAAGCTGCCCTGTAAACATCTCAAGACAGTAAAGCAAGACTTTTCCTATAACAGAAGAGAAGTTCCCTCAGATTTAGAGTAAGCGATTGCAAAGATATACATTTTCAAAGACAAAATATAGCACACAGAATGAATGAATGACAGACAGACAAACAGAGTACCTAGTCCTCGCCTACGCAAAGCTGGGCGAGGCCAATAAACTATCAACACACAACTGAATTAAATCATTGCTAATTTAATTAGCAAGTGTGACTAAGTTGGTGGAATACATTTCTTACACAATAGTAATACAATACAGTGTGATGCTTTTCTGGTGGTACTGCATCACCTATAAAGAGAACCCTGACACTAGTGAATGCTCACCCAAATTTCTTCCATTGTCAATGTAATGTCTTCAACAGAGACATCACGAGCTATTTCTTGAGCAAGAGCTTTACTGTTTTCATTAGTTTCTTCAAGCAAAACCTCTAACAACTCAATAGCTGAAGCTTTGACACTCATTATTTTCCTTATCTATTGATAGTAAAAAGGAAAATTTTTCATCTATGCAACTAAATTACATACTTCAATCTTGGGATGTGATTCCTTTGTGCAACGTAGTACAGCATTAATTGAGTCACCAACTTGACCATTGACAGCAACTACTTGATTAGCATAGTTCCCAACACATAACTCTATTAGTGCCTAAGAGAAGAGACACAATTGAATTACAATTTAATAAAATTGTTACTCGAATTGCTTTCTTTATTGAAGAGATACATGAACTTTCCTCATTAAAATTTTGTAGTAAAGTTTGAAACAGTCTAGTGACTGCTCCAACAATATTTATATTCTGCAGATGCTACAAAAAAAATTAAATTACACAAAAATTACCATGCCATAATATGCACTGCCTTTGTCAACAGTTAGCTAGCACAAATTTTTTGTGAATGGAAACTTTCAAAAGAATTTTATAATTGCAATACACTATATTATAGTCTTGTCACATTCACTGCAATGGGTGTAATGAGACTAAGTGTACATAAAACATGTACAATATGCACAAAGTTAAAAACAATGTCGTTAATTCATAGGTCTTATAAACAGTAAAGACAAAAAAGGATTAGCTAGATCATATGGCTCTATGCTTAAGTTTATATCTTACAGGTTCTCGTAGTACATTTTGCATTTCCTGTTTCTGTCCATCACATATCCGAGAGATTAGATCAAGTGCTACATTAGCTCTTCTAATAACAATTGAAGCTTCCTATAAAATCAATAACATTTCAAAATACATAATTCTAATAAAAATGACATCTCTCAGATTTTTAGTGGATTTTTTCTCTTATCAAGATCCTTACATTAATGTTTTCTAATTTTTCACTTGTTTTGTTTACTTCTCTGCTGCCATTTCCTTCAACTCCTCTACTGCCACTGTCTTCTACTCGTTCACTGCCCGCAGTTCCTTCAGTTTCTTCTAGTCCTCTGACAGGCTCTTCCATTTCTCTTCTATAAAAAGCTGTTCCAGTGTCAGGTTGCAATGTTGCCTACATGTACATACATTTTAGTAAAGATGACATAATAATAATTTGTAAGACTGCATAAAATTAACTAAGACCAATTTTTTCATATAATTATTAATAGTGTGTAAAAAATTAAACATAATGATGCACATGCAGTACATTACATTTTATTTTGACATAGATTTACATGTATATAAAGCTAGATGCTTATCAGTGATACCAATTCTGAAGCTTGTTCAGTTTCAGGAGGGTACACAGCTTTTTTAACATTGTCATTAAATTGCCTATACCAATAAAGATACATACATGTACATGTACTTAAAGAATAATAATATCTGCCTAGGGATTCCTGCAGGATTTTGGCATAGTTTCCAGCAGCTACTTGTAAAGTTGCTCAAAAATTTGGCCAAAAACCCAGTACAAGGTATTGAAACAAAAATTACATAAAGGATATAATTTCCATTTTCAAAATATTTTGTCAACAATGGCTAAAAGTGAATTCTTCATTTTTATAAATATTTTTTCTGATATAATATACATGTATTATATGTATATCCTTATGTTGTATGAATCTGATCCTTTTGGATTTTAATTTTGTTCCAAATGCCATGTACCATAATGTACTGTAATGTAGTACTTCTCAGCTCATAAAGCATGCTGTTTAGCCAATGTAGCATGCTTTGTGGAAACCCTACTCTGCCTGTACAGAATTTATAGTGGCACTTCAAAAACAACTTCTAACAAGCAAGTATGCAAAATTTGAATGGAAGTTGTAACATTAAAATGACAAAAGCAATAATATAAATTTCACAATACCATGTCCAGGATGTTAGCTGATCTAGAAACACTGCAGCATTTACAAGTACTTCATTGAGTCTTTGAAAAAACTTTGCGTCTCTGCTTTTTGTCAGTATATTACCTGATTCAAAAATATTGAACACATAATTTACGGTATACAAGTAGCCAGTGGTAAGCATTAATGAATATGAGAAATGTAAGAAAATGACAACAAACCTATTGCACATTGGGACTTTTCATTGCTATTGAAAAGAATCTCTCGAAGAAATACAAAAACTTGAATGACTACATCATTTCTTGAATGGGACAAATGAATTATGACCTAAGAAACAAAAGGAGGGTAGAGATTTGAAAAAGAATAAGAAATTTAAAACCTCTTCATGTGATTTTAGGGCCAGTAGTGCATCTTGTAATGGCCTGACTTTTTTATCAAATTCTCTTTAAAAATAATCACAACAATAATTTAAGATATTTTTATACATGCATAAAAGTCATACTGATTAAACAAAGTAGGTGGTATTTGTGAATCAACACTACATATTGCTGAACTTAAAACACCACAGAGAATTTGAAGAGATGTGAGAAGTGCAGTATCAATATCAGCTCTTTTTGCTGCTGTCGCTGGCTGTTTAAGTTGTCTATGAAAAACACTGGAGAAAAAATATCAACCTATTGAAATACTTTTGGTGACCTCATCAGTTCTAGAAGATGTTTCATTTTAAAGCTTTCATGGCTCTCTTTTTTATGACCATCCTTCTCATCGCTCTCATTATTGTCTGAAAATAGTTTATCAAGGTCATCTGAAAATATTTTAACAAGTTTCTCGAAACAAGGATTAGTAGGTAGAAAGCTGATTGTGTCACCTATACACATATGACAAAAGAAAAATGAATAAAAAATTCTGTCTACATCTTATGAATAAAATTTACAGTACAAGCATGTATCAATGTACATGCATACCATACATCTACATTTATCAGGTATTTGAAAGCTACTAGCTGTTAATGGTGGGTACCAAATGTAGCATTTCACAATGTAACACTTCATTATTTTGTAGCTGAATTTTACAATAAAAATTAGTAACAAATGACTTAATGTAATCATTATTAAAAAATTACCTAGTAAATAAAAGCAATTTTTATTTATAAAACTTAATATGCTTGCTAATTAGTATACAGCTACTGTATCATTTTGAAAATTGAGCATTCTAAGCAGGCTGTTTTGTAGACAATATGGCATTGAGAAAAAAAATCTTTTTGTTTAGAAAATATTTGTTCCATAAGGACTGAGAAAGAAAAGAATGAAATGAAACTCAGACAGAATATACCTGCTATACAATATTATAATTGTATACATACAGTCAGACATGGGGTAATAGTAATAGATAATAGTAATAGTAATAGTAAAGATTACATGTTTTAAAGTAATAGTAATAGTAATAGTAATGGAGGAATCAAAAAACCAAGTAATAGTAATTGTAATAGTAGGAGACAGTTAAGTAATAGTAATATAATAGTAATTGTACATATTGTAATATATTATTGTACAAGTGTTCAATGTACATGTACTGGTACATGTATGTGCATTCAAGTTTGTCTGCTCTGATAAAAGGTTCATCTGCTCCAGTGGTATTCAGTATAGGAGGGAAATTTTTTAGACTGGAACAATGCAGACTTTCTGATACTGTTTTTGAGAAACTTATAAGTATAAAATGTAACGGTCATTTGCTTTAAAGAGAATTGATTTGAAATTATAATGTAATCGTAATATAATTAGATTACATTTAGTCATGCATATGCAGTAATAGTAATAGTAATAATGAAATTAGTGAAGTAATAGTAATAGTAATATATTACATTTACATCTACTAAACATGTAATTGTAATAGTAATAGAACTTTTTTCTAGTTAATAGTAATAGTAATATATTACTTTCTAATGTAATTGACCCCATGTCTGCATACAGTACATGCATGAACACAGCTTGGGCCACAAAAATCAAGAATTATCAAGTAAATTAATTAATGTAGAATAATGATTAACATGTACATGCATTAAAGTTTATGTTATTATATGTAGATATCAAAAGCTATAAAATATAACAAGAAACAAATGGAGGAAAAGAAATAAAATAATGAGACAGAACTTACACTTCTCAGTACTTTGATAAGAGATTTTAAAATTAGAAACAAATTTCTGAAAGCTTTCATTCTTTTTAATTTCCTCTTTCAGCTCTTGCTTTACTTTAGCACTGAATTGATCTTCATGTACATGTAATGTCATCTAAAATAAAATATGTCTGTGCTAAAATTTAAATGTACATGTGTACAGTACATGTATACATGAAGTATGAAGATGAAATTGATTTGTTGCGCAAAGCCCTCACTAATGAATTAGTTCTACTTGTATGCATAGCTTTTTGTTGCATAAAGCAATGCGTACAAGTACAAGTGGCTAGAGGACAGAGTCACTTAATGTTTTACATTCTCATAGTTACCAATGCAAAATCTTCATATTTAACACTACTCAATATTCAAGCTCATACATCGATCAAATATGTCTTTTATGGTACATGGGCTTTACTATAGGAAGAACAGTACATTTCAAAATTTATTTAATAACTCATTTAAGTAGAATTGATTTTAATGAAATTAGCAATAACTAAAAAGAATGTAAAACATTGAGGGGCTTTGCCTCCAGGCCACACCTCAGTCACGCCCTAACGTAAGCATAAACGCATTCAAAAATTCTTATCAGTAAGAGCTCTGCCCAATCAATGAAAAAGTAACACATAAAAGAACAGTATTACATAGTTTGTAAGTTTGGAGGGGATAAATTATGGCAAATTTGGCATTTTGGATCACCATGCTCATGATTAATGGTATACACACCAATATTTTAGCAATTCATCAAAATTCTATTTACTCGTCTAAAATTGCAGTGACATGCACATCTACATACATGCAATAATGCTCAATAAGAACATTCCTATCTTATCCTAATAAAAAATTACTTATTTTAACAGCACTGTGAAATACTTATTAATATCTTTTGCAGAAAATCAGGAAATTTATATACATGTACATGTACCTTAGCTTAATTAGGTAATTTAACCTTTAAGGTACATGTAAACAAGTAGCACTAGCCAATTACACTCATTTACATGTATTTTACATCGAAAATTTTGGCTGGTGCTAGTAAATCTGAAATTTTATTATTCTATAATGCAATAACATGGTCTTAGAGGCATGAGTTTATATTTTTAGATGCTGTACATGCATAGAAACTCATCTTACTTGATCAAAACGTATTTCTTCTTGGGGTGATATAGTCTTTATAACACTTATGAACTCACTCCAGTAATGTGTCATTACAGGCATTGTACAAAAAACTTCAGGGTGATTTTTTAGAAGTGCCTATGTGGAAATTAAAAATTGTAAAATTTATAATTACATGCATGATTACATATAATAAACAAAAGCTTACCATAGCTGAAGCAGATAGAAGCTTTATTACCTCAACCTTATCAAAAGATTTGGTACTGGAACATACAAAATGAGAACAGAAAGATGTGATTAGTGGAATCAATCCATCAATCAGATAACACAGTACTGATGATACAGAAATTGACTTGTCTTCATATCGAAGTGTTTCATCATTAAACTTTCTTTTTTTCCAAGCCTACAGACATCAAAAATAAATATTACAGTTTAACAAAGCATTTTCATGGCCCAAAAATTTTGCAGATCCATTCAAAAATCAATTTTGTGGCTTTAATTTTCATGGTTTTTTATTTTCCCAGTTTCATTCTTTTCAGCAATCTTGAACTGTATTGAATCAATTTTCGCAGATTTTATTTTTGTGAATTGTGAAGAAACACAAAATTCATAAAAATTTAGGGCCAAAAAATATTTTCCACTATACGGTATGACTGAGTAGCCTTAATGCATAAATTAAAGCAGTTTCATTATCAATTAATTTTATGGATCCAGCCCTGCTAAAATACACAATATATAAATGGTTAGAAGACTTGACAAAACCATTATTGCTTGAACAAAATTAATGCAGGTTGATTTAGATTTTAAGCACTGTTAGCTTGCTTTGTTAAGGTAAATGTTTAGCAGTTTTACCAGCATAGAGTTCTCTCTTTTTAAATTGTCAAATGTTTTCATGTTTCATAGCATAGGCTAAGTAAAAGCTGCATCTAGCTACTAACAGCAAGTATATAGACAGAAACAGGTGTACAACGTAAGCTATTGTTTTTTACTCAGATAAACAATTACTTGGTACAAAAAGGGGCCTCAATTCACACATGTTTGCTCATATTCTAATCATAGTTATTCTGTATTGACTTACACTGAAACTAGAAGATTGACTGAAGAGGACACGAACCTCAATTTTAGTTTGTTCTTTAAAGTCATGTGATGCAGCTGACAGCTTATTATCAAGTAATTCCAAAAAAGAAGCACATTCCTTTACATGAGGCCAAAATAAGCTACAAAAATAAAAAAGCAGCCTATAGTCACATGCATGTATAATGATTTACTGGTCAAAGTACTGTACTGTACATGTGTACATGTATATGAGGTAATTTCATGGTATGTTAATTTTTTTTATTTTCATGCAAGCATTATAAGCAAAAAAATTAAACCACTTCCCATTCCATTTCAACTACAAATATAGGCCCAAAATACAAAAATTAGCCCACAAAAATTTTATGTTTTGAGTACTTTCATTTGAAAACACAAAATTTTAAACGCTAAAAAAGATAAGCCTCATGCAATGTGCTAAATGCAATAGCTTTAAGATTAATGACACATAACAAAGTATTGTAATTTTTAAAATGATATAGTACAGCTAAAAATTAGCCAGTGCATGCACAGTATACAGAATGCATCAACCTGTTCTGTAACAAAGAATAATGAAAATTCATCTCTGTGTTGATAAATCCTTCCTTCAGAATACGAGCAAAGGGCTTTCTTCTGTCAAATTCTATGTCAGGATTGACAATGATTCTATAAAAGAAACACATTTTATTTCACATTCTATTAAATTCAACAAAAATTCTATAAACGTTTTATAAACATGTTTTATGAAAGTGAAGTTCAGACCAGCCACATGTTAGTGTTATACTTTTATATTGATTTTATCTTATAAAAATATAGAAGTACATGTAAATGGAACTGTCATTTACTATTATAACAATACTAGTGACAATTAATTTACTAGCCTCTCTTTTTAAATCAAAATTAAAAAAAATTAACAAAAATATTAATCAAGTTAATTTTTGAAAACACTATTTTAAAACTATAGTAAAGCAAAGGCCAAATATGTTTTCCTACGATATTGATAATCTTTTAAATAAATTTGCAGCACACTTTGTACACCACAAATCCCCTATTTTAAAAATCCTGCATACACTCCTAAAATTAATCATTGTCAAATCTCTCATCAACCAGTATAATACAAGTCAAATCAACAACTATAGTGATTAATTATAATATGGCTACTGCATGATTGCTTTCATTTGAACATTTAATTAATGTAATGGGTAATGAGCTAATTGGGTTCATAGTCTTTATTATTCAGCAAGTTTTAATATGTAATATGTATTGCATTTACTTGACAAGCTCATCCAATGTGAAGGACTTTTGACAGATTTCACCGGCACATACACAGTTTCCCTCAGCCGTAGTTGCCAATAAGTCAGACACTCCTAGTAACTGTAGCAAGCTTGCGCCTTCAGCCTAAATGGGAAAGAGAGAACAGACAAACGAAATTAAACTCAATATTAAGACTACAAAGGACTTTTAAAATAGCAATAAAAGTCTTTAATAGAGGGCTGCTCTGGGGCCCCAGGTAAAAAATATTACAGGGATCCTACTAATACAAATTACTCACTTTTTAGCAACTACAAAAATATTATGTATCATGTAAGTGCGACCATTTTAGCTTTTTTGATTACATGTATGTCATCAAAATTTACAAGCTGTATTGCAAAGTTTGTATCAAGGTCCCAGGCACTATAGGTTAATACATAAAGTACATTATGCTTTATACATGTAGTTTACTATTAATTTAAAGCATGGGCCCCCTTGACAGTGGACCCAGGGAAAGTTGCCCCACATGCCCCCCAATGGCAGTCCTATACTATTATACTGAAGTGTCTCCATTTTAAAGGTAAACATTAATGGGTTTATTGAGACATTACAAATAGAATTGTCAGTACTATACATTTATTTCACTATAATTATAACTACATCACCAAATACAATCATAAGGTTATTAATAACTAATACATTTTGAAGTGCTTCTTTTTGAGCTCTTCCAAAGTGCTCTTCAGCATGTTCTGCTATTTTTCTTGCTATTAACTCCTGATGATTCTTCAGCAAAAGATGGATATCTTTGCTTGACTTGTGGGGCTAAATGAACAAAATAAAAAAGGAAATGAATATTGCCATAAATGCATAACACTGGATTGTATCAAATAAGAAAACATGCATGTAGGCTTTAAAGGAGAGTACAAGTAGTAGCTTCCAGTAAGATCCGACAAGTTACATTATCATTGATGTACATATATTCACTTTAATAACTGTTTCCAGTACAGTGTAATATTCAGTACAACTAGTAGCAGAGGTAAGGTCTTGGCTAGCAGTGGCTGCTATACTATAGAGTTGAATAATACAGGACTCTGAGAGACAATGACACAATTCAAAATTTTCACAAAGTGTCTAACAAAAAAATGAGTTTACAGTAAACTAAAAAGCACTGCTATTACTTCAGTCATAAGACAGGCTACTGGCATTAGAGGCTGTGACGACTCAAGAAAATCATCAAAATTAATAAAAATTTTTTCTTGGACCTATAGATATAAGATATCAGAATAAAATTTTTATATTCATATACCTGCTTATTTCTGCGAGCTATTGCTTGCAAGCAATTGCAAGAGCATTCAAGCAATTCATCTTGATCAGGATAATTTGAAGAGCAAAACTGTCGAATATATGTCAGCAAGGAAGATGCTATACCTAAAATGCAACATAAACAAAAAGTCCCTCTACAAATAAACAGGGTGTCACACAGGGATGAAGGGCAGAATCCCCCCTACTCTAAGTTCTCCCCCAAAATAGATTAGGTAAATTTAATAAAAGGGTTTATACTTGTTATTATTCACTGTTGTTCATTACACATTTGAAATTAACTAGCAATACATGTAGCTTGTGCCAGCACAAGCAAAATTGGCTTTCACTTGATTAGGCAAAATAAAATCCCAAAAACATGCATAAATTTTTGACATGTCCCCCTACCAAAAATTGTGTATGAATCCCTGAAGAAAGAAAGCAGTGACAAAAAAGAAAGAAAGCAGTGACAAAAAAGAAAGAAAATTAATTAAAAGAAGCTAACTTTAATGCTAACAAAAGGTTTAAACTTTTGTCAACAAAACTCACCAGTGGTAAACGCAATTTGTTGATGACAAACATGAGGTTGCGTCTCATCATCATCAATCATACATGCTTCCTTTACATACTCAAAAAGTTCATTACTGAGCTGCAATTGAGAATCTAAAGTGAGGATAATAATACATGCCTGATAACTGTTGTTTTTAACTTTTGCTATAGATTTATTTACAGTAAGCTGATGACCTGTGTAAACAAGGCCAGCCATGACATGCAGGCAAGGTAAATGAAAATGTTATCTTCATATATGCATACACATGTACATTTACATGTAATTTAACTTATTACAATCAATTTATATCAACAGGAAGGGACATGATTGGTTTAGTAAAGCAATGTAATGCTTGATGCATGTACATGTATTGATAAAGTCAAGCATAATTATTATACACATGTACTAGCCTGATTTCTTGGCCTGCCCCTGCAATAACTTTAATATAACTTTTGACGAATCATGAAAAGCGCCACATTCCTTCATATAATTAAAAACTTTCGATTCTTGCATGGTTATGTATGATACAGTTGAATCATGAAACAAAATGTTCTCTTTCTATAAGTGGGAGAAGAAACAAATGAAATTATCATTTTAGATATCAAAAGTCCAGCTTTGAACTAATAAAGTCACAAGTTAGATCAATTTGCACCCATAAAAAATGGTTTATAATGCCGTAATATTGTATGAGGAGCAAAATGGTTCGCTATTCTAAAGGTATCTCATAAATACTTTTCAATGAAAATAATAAACAAAAATTAATTAGTCAATTTACAAGAAGGAAATCATAATGCATTCAAAAAAAGTTAATTGATCAGCTACGAAGGGTTACAACCTGCTGGAAGGGGGTTCTAAATAGTGATATTTGTAACCACACCAAGGTAGCATTTACAGGTTTAAATTAACCATGAATTTAGGCACATAATTATACATTGTATCATTTGTATGATCTGTATCATATGTGCTCTACTGCAGTCACTAAAAGGTAAAGGATCCAAGCTATTGGGAATCCTAATTAACAGTAAACATGAAATGGAATAATTATTTATAGCTAAATTAGCTTAAACTACAAATGTCAACCAATTAAAACATACTTGTAATATATCAAACAGTAGTAAAATGCTTGATAGTCTCAAATCATCATCATTACAATTCAATAAATCCAAAAGTATTTCATTAATATTAACTCCATTTCCATCATTCTCAACAAAAATCTCATAACCTGGATTTTGAAAAATTTCTATGAGTTTTTCATGTGCTAATGCACAGAATCTATAAAATAAAAAATATATTACACATGATTTATATAATTATGCTCTTGTAATTGAATTTAAGTTAATATACAACAGCAGAAGTGCAAAAAAATTATTTGGGTTGAATTCAACAAAATATTCAAGAATGTTCTCCTCCTCAAGAGGCTTTGGATACAAATCATTTTAAAATTATCAGTAATCATTCATCAGTGAAAAGAGAAGCCAATAGCATACAAGATGCTATTATTATGACTTTAAATAATAACAAGAGTAGACTAAAAATTTATAAAGCCAAGGGTTTTACAGCACAGTAACAACATTAATTTTGTAATAACAGCTTAACCTTTCATGCTGGCAGTCAGAAGAACATAATGGAGCCAATAAATTATCAATACCAGGAGCTTCAGCTTGTGACACTTTAAAAGTATACATAAATTTCTAAATAAAATAATGAAAAACAAAATTTGTGTACTTTAACTTACCCCCAATGTAGAGTACACTAGTTGTTTAAATAGAAGGTGTAAGATTCGAACAACTCTAAAAGGAAATATTATAGTGAATATAACAACATAATTATTGTGACATGTGTGAATATTTTGCCATGAAATAAGTCTTAAATTGTGGTTGCTAAAATATTTAAAATAGTTTTACACATTACTCGTGCAAGCATGTACATGTGTACAGTACCTTGTTTTGATATCAAAAACTTTTTGGTTATTTTTATTTTTGACATACTGACTACCATCTCTTTGTTCTACAAAATAATAATACATTTAATAAAACAAATAATGATTTATAACTACAATTATACTCCATACTATTACCACACCTTTGTCATTTGTCTTTGTTACTAAAATTTTAACCAGAGTGTTTGCTATGTCTGTATCTTTCCTATAAAACCCATAGCTTACAAGGGGCTCTACAACAGCCAAAATCTGACTCAAGAGTTCATTTTGTCCTTCTACTTCTTCTTCGTATGATCCCTAAATTTCAACAATTAACTAATAAAAATAAGTCAATGTTGTAATGCACATAATACTACTTATTCATGCATTAAAATAATTAAGTCACATTTTGAATAAAAAATCTGAAGTGAACAGGAGACAACTATTCCATTACTACAATAAATTTCACATGACAAAAAAGTGAATGCTGCTCATACATCTAGCCTACAGTATAGCTGATTGCATGCATCCAATCCTCCTTGACTTAATTAATGTTAACCACAGCCACTCTAAAAAAATTTATAGTTTCCCATTACAGAGGCAGGCCTGATGCAGGTGGATGGGTTTGTTTTTTCCATTCAATTATTCATTATAATTATATTCTGTATAAACTGTGTGACACAATGGAAGCAGGTTACGGAAAACTATAAATGGGCTAGAATATATCATTTGTACTATAAATAAAAATTCTATTCTGGCCAATATGTGAGGGCATAGTTTGTACTGCCTTCAATGCCACAATCAGAGAGAAAAAAATTCCAACATTAATCTACAAACAGTACATGTATCTGTGCCATGAGCCTCTGGGTAAAAAAATTAGAGGATTTTAGTCTATTAGCAATAAAGTTCACAATTTCCTGATACATACATGATACTCTTGATACATGTACATGTATTATTCACACAGATCTGGTGAATACAGTTAAAAGACTCATACTATGCTCACAACACTTACAAAACAATTTTTTGTTTCCTATTGGTTTTGGCGAAGCAAAGAGTACATGTACTCTTGGCGAGGCCAATGCACCAACGTGATTTATTTATGTGTGTCCTCCTATACTTGCCATGTCTAATAATATATAAGGAGGGTGTGAAATAAGGTCCCCATGTTTGGTGAGTAAACATCAAAACATGGTGCTCACCACAAAGTAATCCAAACATAAATAGTTAGAGATTTTTTAATTTCACATCATGGTGATGTGAATAATTATAATGACAATGTATTAGGCCAATAAATGAATATAAGGTAATGCTAAAGTAATAATTTACCCTGTTGACTTCTAAGTGGCATTGTATGCTTTCCTTTAACTCTTTCATCTCCTCTTGATTTGGAATACCCTCATATATATCACGAAGAGCTGTTGTCTTTTTTGAATCGCCAGATATGTTATCCCAATACTACAAAATGTAAATGTAGAAAACAACAATGAACAAAATATCAGGCACTTATACATACATGTACATGTAATTAATTTTGTTTGGATAGGAAATTATCACATTATAATGAGTGTAGAATTTGCAACCATGTTACATATACCGTATAGCAGCTAGGTTTCTTTTGTTCAGTCAAACTTTCGTTCTTTTTGTTCTTCAAGCTCCAAAAACGAAAATTAAACCCATAAAATTTTGGCTGGAAACTCAGTGATGACAACAGAGCTCACCATCTTCGTCAGATTAGGACTAACATGTGGGTATTGTGGGTGTCTGGGTGGGGTTGGTGGGTGTGGATTATGACTGATTGCAGCAGAACAAAAAATCCACAAAGTTGGATTTCCTCTCAAAAACAAAAGTTTGACCAAACGGTAGAAAGTCGCTATATGGTTATTAAAAATAGCTATCATATACTGTATCTTCATTGTAAATTACATGTATTACCATTATTACAATTATTGTTAATGAAGTGATATTACAGTGGAACCTGTGCTAACAGTCACCTGAGTAGTG